TGTGATCCACTGCCAAAGGACAAAAATCACAGTTTTTTTCCGAATTGGGAGAGACTTCAGTGACCATGTGGTTAAACCCATTCGAGTCCCCACTGCAGCATCATTATGTTAGTCATTATTTACAATGTTAGTTGACATTTATATGGCACATTTATAAGGCTTGCAGAACACTTTGAATATATGACGTTGGTTGATCATACCAGACAAGAGACCGTCTAGCCAGTCTGGAGACTGAAATGAGAGCGCCCCCCCCCACCTCCATTCCACTTTGTGTTGTAATTGTTATGAAGATTTTCCTAACATCAGTGCCCCTAGTTCTGCCTTCTGGGGAGAAGCAGAATGAGGCAAATCCTTTTGCCCCAAGTTAAACCTCTTTAGGTCCTCCACACCCCACCCCACCCCAAGTCTTCTCTTCTCCAGCATAATATCCACAGTTATTGATCTTCAAATGGATGGACTTGAGGCTCTTCTAATCTTGGTCATTGTTGTTCAATCGTGTCTAACTCTTTGTGACCCCATTTGGGATTTTCTTGGCAAATACTGGAGTGGTTTATTTCCTTCTCCAGCTTATTTTACAGATGAGGAAACGGAGGCAAACCAGGTTACATGACTTGCCCAGAGTCATGCAGCTAGTAAATGTCTAAGGCCAGATTTGAACTGAGGAGTCTTCCTGACTGTAGCCCCAGCACTCTATCCATTGTCCCATCTAGTTACCCAATGAACAGGAACTTGAACCCTAGACCCTCAGATTAAAAGTCTGGCGATCTACAAACTAAGCTCTCCCAGCATCCTTCTGCCACCTGATAGCCCTCTTTGGGTGCTTGAAGACAACTGTTACGTTCCATTCCCCCAACCTCCCACCTGCAGTCTTCTCCAGTATAAGCAAAGGAAGTAAATTACTTCCTTTTTTGATCCTCATTTGGGATGGACTTGAGGCTCTTCCGATCTTGGTTATTACTCTAGCTAATTAATGTCCTTCCCAAACTGTGGCACCCAAACATAACCTAGTACTCCAGCTGCAATCTGACCAGGGATACCTTCCCAATGCCAGCCAGACTTCTTGAAATTGCATTACACTGGTCATGAAGGGGTCTGGGTAAGAAAGGAAGCCTTTCCTGATCTCTCTTATTGCTGATGCCTTCCTCTGTTGATTATCTTCATTTTGTTTGCATCTTGCCTCCTCATTAGACCTTGGTGCTTTGAGAGCAGGGATTGCCTTCCGCCTTTCAGCGTGGTACAACGCCTCCTGTGCCACGGAGGTTCGTGCCTGGTATGTGGATGCTCAATAAATAAATGGATGCCCTGACACCTGCAGAATATATTCTCTCTAGAAGCAGAAGGGGGTGGGGCGGTTCGAGGGACCACAGTTCAAGGCAGTATGTGACATCTCTGTGACAGTTTCTCTTCATTCTGGATGCTTTGGCTGCTCAGTTTCCCCAGCTCTTCTTGTTACTGAAGGTCACAGATTAGAGCTGGGAAGGACCTCAGACATCATCTAGTCTAACCCTTCTATTTTACAAATGAGGAAACTGAGTCCCAGGGAGATGTAGTAACACCTTGCCTAAAGCCATGCAGTTAGTTAAGTGGCAGAGCCAGGATTGAATCCCAGGTCCTCCAGTGCCCTTCCTATTGCACCATGATGCTGCTTTCTGGTCAAGGTTATGTTACTGCAGCTCCCCAGAGGTGCTTGGTCTCTAAGCCGACACTGAGAAAGCTCAGGAAGAAGTTAGACACACGTATACAACACAGCAGAGAGTAAGACATTGGACTTTTTAATTTCATTAGTGACAGACAGACAGACAATACTTGGAACAAGTGAGCCTGGCAGATGGCTATTAGAAAACAAGGTTATATGGTGCTCTGACATCTTGGTGATGGAAAACAGAGATACCTTGCCCTTCACTCTCTTCCCTTCAGCTTCCACAATTCACCCTACCTTATCATGTGAATGCTACAGCACAGCCAAAGATTATCTACTGGGAGAATCCTCTGGAAGATCTCTGCCCGGCTTCCTTTTTAATCTGCCAAATGATCAAAGGAAGCTATGGTGATGGGTTATAGTGATCACTTCATACAACTGTGATTGACAGTTCTCCCACGAAGGGCTACTTGACTACTCTAGTAAAATGAATCTTAGCCTTCTCTTGATGTAGAGGAAAGAATGTTATACTTGGAATCAGGAAAACAGGTTGAATTCCACCCTGGATACTTACTAGCTATGTGACTGTTTGACTTCTCTGAGATACAGTTTCCCCCATCTATAAAATGAGGATGGTGATAATCATACTGCCTACTTCATCAAGGTGATCATAGAATGTTAGAAGTGAAATGGGCTTCAGAATCACCTACTCTAGCCCCATTGTTTTAGAGATGAGGAAATAAAGAGGCAAAGTGATTTGTCTTTTGGAGGTGATACAGCTAATGAATGGCAGAGTCAGGACTCAAACCCAGGTCTTCTGATTCCAAACCCAACATTCTTTCCATTACCCTTTGCTTTGGGTTCTAGCCATAATATCTGTTCTTAGCTGGGGCTCCCTTAGCATTTTAAAGTCATTGTGGCCTATTGGCCTGGGTTTTATATCCCATGATTCCAAACCTATTGTCAGTAAGATGCCCCTTCTACCCTATCCATGCTGCCTAAGTTAACATGCATTCATTGGGCAGAAAGTCCGGGGAAACAGTGCTATTAACAAAAAATGCTTCCAATCTTACCAACATAGTGAGTCTATCAAGACGTTTTTCTACAGTGATGGGTGGAGATGATAGGATAACACTAATAAAATTCTCAGGAACATATGTCACAAATGTCTGCCATGATTCTCTTCTTTTCCAAGCTGGAGCTCTCAGATTCGAGTTTAAGGAGTCATGAACCAGGAAATAATAGACCCTGGAAAACCTAGGGTCATGCAATTCAAGCCAATTCAAGAACCTCTTATGTGCTAGTCACCAGAACAATCACTGGGGATACAAAAAAATAAAATAAACATCCCTTAATGTCAGGGAGCTTACATTCTAATGGAATGTAAGTAGTTGTGGGTATATTTACCTCAGCCCTAGGAAGGTGTTGGTTTTAGCCCCTGACTCATGGAATAGAACAGAAGGGCTTCGTTGCCAACAATTATTCAAGAAACTATTTGGAAAAAGGTTTTGTAAAAGCCTGCAATTGCACTAGCTTAGCAACGAGAAAGGTTCTTAGGATACTTTCTTACTCCAGTTTTCTGGAGACAGTACCGACACAGACAAAGCTTCTGCTTTACTTTTGGCAAACAACTGTCTAAGCAGGCCAGTAAGGGTCCAGGGAGGGCCTTTCTGCCTCATCCAGGTCTGTCAATGTCCAGCTAGTGAATCTAAATCCTAAAACTCAATGGCACTATTCTAGGCCCGTATGTAGCTTAGTATTAGACATAAACACTAGTTAACTAGAAATATGAATTATGGATGTTTTACAAGGTTCCTCTCCTGGTTCAGACATTCTAGATGAATGAAATAGACATGTCAGTGGAAGATAAGCCAAATGGCTTGCGTTCCTTCCCTTTGGTAAGATGTTTGTTCACGAAACATCCCTTAGGAAGCTCTTTAACAGGACTGTTTAATCAAGAAGAAATGTGTGACAGGGAAGAAAAAGTCTATGACCTTTGGGGCTCAAGTCAGAACAACCAAAACACATAGTTTGGCTTGAATTGCAAATGGCCATGGAAACTCTTGGCCTTTTCCTCTTTGGAAAGAGAGTCTGGTCTCTTTCTCATTGCAGATGACTTTATTCCAGTTCCTAGCAGATCAGACTGTGTTAGGACAAGGGCTGGTGTTTGGAGAGAGCTCCCTTTATAAGAGATCCTATTCATGGAGTGTTTTACATACATTATCTCACTTGACATACTTTGTAGTTGGAGGGGATTGTTGTTGTTATTTGTCCTTTCTCGAAGAGGGCCATGACATCTGGAAATCAGGAAGGTGATGCGAAGACTTGCAAGTGAATTGTATTTAAGTGAGGGAGGACTGTGCAAAGACACTAACCTCACTTTCTCCTCTGGAGCCATCTGGTTCCAGTGGCAAGATATAGATCAGGACACCTGGAGATGGCCCAGGTGCAGTGGGAAACCTCGGCCTTTTTAAGCTAAGGTCTTTCACAGGCCTCAGTTTGACTGAGACAATGCCCACTCGGTGATTGAGGCAAAGAATGGCCTCTTTTACCTACTCAAAGAAAAAAAAATCAATCTGGGAGGGGAAGACCCTCAGGGTTTCTGGCCAAAACAGAAACAGTTGCTATTTAGACTCATTGTAAATACATTCGCTGGCCACTGAGCCATCAGAATCCAAACTATGACCAAGTGAGGCTTGGGCTGGGACCTATTGTCGGCCAATCAACCAGAGACAGTGATTTAGTTGGAGGGAAACACAAGAGGTGGAGGTAGACAGTGTTTTGTTTGGTGGTTGTTTTTACAAACATTTAAAAAGGTATTTGTGCTACCTCCTTGCAAAGAAAAAAAAACCCTCATTTTTTTTTAATGGCAAGAAAAGAGACTCTTCTTCCTAGCACTGCTGGGACTTAAGGTCTGTTAGTTCAGTGCACTGAAAGCTGTAAACGCTAAACAGAGGTTGACTCCCCACTTCATGCCTACACACTCTAGGGGAGTATAGTCAGTTAGCACTCTCACTTTCCATCTCTTTCTAGCCCTATTCCCATCTCTGGCTTTCTCACAGGCCCTAATTCTATACATCCTACTCCTAGGATGGCCGCTCCCTTGATCAGCCACCAACTTGCCCTAGAATTGGTCGATGAACTTAACAAGAAAGAGATATCATCAATGTTTCTTGTTGTCTTGGTCAAGGTTACTTCATCTCTCATATGAAAGACATCCTGCTAGACATCAGATCAAACTTCTCTACACATTAGTGCTGGTCTTCCATATGTCACCACAAAATGGTAGGTGTGGTTTACATCTGACAGTATTCTTTTCTGGTGTTTCCTGGTATTTAACCAGATAAAACTAGTCCCTAGTTAAATGAGATGGTTAGTGCTGAAGGGCCATGCTACTGTGAGAAGGCCCCTGTTTTGGGGGTTCTCTTTCACATAGATCCTTATGGTTAAGTCCCATTCTTTTTTTTTCTTAACAGAATCCTCTACTTCATGCTCAGATGGGCTAAGGCATTCCGACCTCTTTTTGTTAGTTTGCTAGGATGGAAAGGCCTCACCCCAATCCTTACATTTTCCACAGTGTGACAAGGAGGAGAAAAGGGGTTAAATATAATAAGAACTCACAACTACATAGTGTTTTCCTCACAACAACCCTGTGAGGTAGGTCTTATATAGGTAGTGTAAATATTACTACCTCCATTATCCACCAAGGCTCAGAAAGGTGAAGCTGTTTGCCAATGGCCACAGTGTGTCAGTGCTGGGATTTGAACCCAGATCTTTCTTAGTCTAAGTCCCACATTCTTTGTACTACACTAAAGCATAAACCTCCAACACTATTTAGAATCATAGACTATTAGAGCTAACAGGGATCTGTATCAGATTATCTCATTTTATAGATGAGGGAAACTGAGCCCCAGAGAGGGGAGTGACTTGCCCAAAGGCACAGAGTTGATAAGTGGCAGGACTGGGACCAGATCCCAGGTCTCCTGGCTTCTGGTCTAGTGCTCTACCATAGCGTGCTTTGGGCATCGGTAGGTGGCAGTGGGGGCAGGCAAGAACTACTGCCTGAGCATTCTAAATGGAGGATTTAGAAGCACATGGCACAGCGCCCATGTGCAGAGCAGTTATTAATGTTGCGGAAAGAGGATGGAGAAGATCTCACAGGTTGTTGTTCTGACCATCTTCTGGGTCTTTGGCTTGTGCCAGCTTCTCGTTAAGTTCCTTTCTTACCCTTCAGATAAAAAGAAGAAAAGGTTTAAGCCTTGAAAGGGAAAAGGAAATGCATGAGTGAAAAAAACCAAACAAACCAACATTACTGATTTGAAGGATCAACTAACAATGCCTCTGCTTTCTTTACCAGTGGATGGCAGAGGTGAGAAGCATTAATCTTCCTTAAAACCCTACTTCTTCACTCCAGTTGGTAAAATTTAAAATACTAGTTCTACGAAAAGTTCTGGCTGAGACATTTATCAAATTTACTAGGCCATGCCTTTTCTAAGAGTGACTTACTTTTCTCTGTTGAAAATAATGAATTCCTTCTGGACTGATTCAAGGTGCTCCTGAAGAAGGCAAACCTGCTAGGTGGAAATAAGAAAAGAAAGGTTAGCAGACAGGCTCCACAATCAATCAACAGATATTTCCCAAATGCTTATAATGTACTCAGTAGGATCAGACAATCAGTCATAAGGCTTAGAGTCAGAAGGGCCCATAGAGATCCAACCCCCTTATTTTGCAGAGGAGGAAAATGAAACTCAAAGAGGGTCAGTAACTCACCCAAGGTCATTCGGGGGTAAATATCAGCCAGAAATTTGAATTCAAGACCTCTACTTTGGCCAAAGATGATAAATTTAGAAGGTATTTATGGGGAAAAGACAACAGATACCCACCTCTACAGCCTCTGTGTCCTCAGAAACAGGAAGACCTGGGTTCAGGCACCACCTCTGACATACTGGACAAATCACTGAAACTCTCAGTGCTCTAGGCAGCCCTCAGTAGTTGTAGAGAAGGTACCAACCTATGCTGGTAGAGGGAGCTTCCTCACCTGAGAGTTCTCTCTACCAATAAAGTCTCAGGTCCAGTCCCTATTTATATAAACCTTCATTTGACAGAAGAGGAAACTGAGGTTCAGAGAGAAAACTGACTTACCCCTCAGTCACCTAAGTAGTTAAGAAGTGGCAGAGTGTGGGATTCACACTCAGGATCTCTGAGTGTTCTTTTCACTATTCCACACTAACTTTTCCTTAGCCCTAACCTAAACTATGGCCACATCTACTTAAGTATTAAATTTTCTAGGAGAGCATTAAGCATGTTTTTTTTTCCCCCAGTTATCAAACTGAATGGCTGATTCGGGTAGGAAGGTCCAACTCTGTAAGATCCTGGCCCTATCCTTCCCTGTCCCCTCCATAGTCCTCAAGAGAAAGGGTAGAGCAGTCAAGATAGCTACATCAAAGAGAAGTAACAGAGAACCTGGCAGAGGGCAGTATAAGTAAGAGGACTGAGATCAGCACCATACACACTCCTGTCTGGCAAAGGAAAGGGGAGCAATACTCTTCAGGCCAGTAAAGAAATCACTACCTCTCTAGCCTGAGTCAGAAAGATTTGTTTAGGTAGCTGTTTAACCTGGACAGCAGTGAGTGTCTGCTGAGTGACCATCAGCTGTTTACCCTGGGTTGAAGTCAGAAATGATAAATGCCTTGGAGGAAAATGGATCTGAAATGAGGCCCCAAGAGGCAGCCTGTGAGGGTCTCTCCTGCAGGTCACGGGCCCACCATGCACTTCCTGTCTCATGGTGAAAGGTTCAGATGTTCTACTGAGTGGCCTAGAATAATCTCTCTCCTCCAGGATCACATTTAATTCCATCTGACTGTTCACTACAACCACTGTGACATTCATTCATTAGGGACTGCTAAATGTACTTTGGCTCAAGTGAGCAGGGTATTAACTATGCCAGACTGTGTCATTGTACAAAGTACCTGCTTGAAAGAACTTAACCTTGAGAAGTGGTCAACAAACATGGGGCCCGGGAGGAATGAGAGTCCCAGAGCAAAAGTTTTGAATGTTTACCTGAAAAGTTTCCCATAAATCACTTTTGGGGACTTAAGTTAACTGTATGAAAAAGTTTGGAAATGTGGTATCCTTTCTAGGAAGGACTAGAAATGAGAAAAAAACAGCTGTTCAGCAAAACTAACCAAAACTTCAACTGAGTCTGACAGTATATGCAATGTTACACACCCTCAGGCCTCCACCTCTGCAAAGGGAAGTCCATTCTCTCCTCTCTTTAAGTGGGTAAAGCTTGGCCATCAAAATTACACAACTCAACCTCTCATTTTATATCTAGTAACAAGTCCAAAAGGGAGATCTTTAATACCCACTGATTTTCCAAACTCAGAAAGCAGTCAGAATGCAACTAAAAGAGAATTCCAGAGACAAAAGGTTGCACTCACTAGGCTGGCAAAATGTGATTTAGTTAAAAGGGCAGTGGGGATTATACTGAGCAGAGAAGGTAGTATAGAAGTAGAGCTCTCAGGAACTCCTGGCAGAGGCAGCAAAGAAAGGCTCTTAGAATTATTTTAGGAGACTTCTGAAAGGTCAAAACAGAAATATGAGTATTCAGAAGAAAAGAAAAAGGGAATGTAGGTAAGAAAGAGGCCAGGTAGACTTTACAAGAAAGGAAAAAGGGAGGAAAAATGGAAAACAGCATGATGCAGTGGGAATAGTACTAGATTTGGGTTCAAATCCTGTCTGCTACTTATTACTCATGTGATTTTGGACAAATCACACTTCTGCTTCTCAGTTTCCTCATCTATAGACAGAGGCAGCTAGGTGACACAGTGAATGGAGCACTGGGCCTGGAATCAGGAAGACCTGAGTTCAAATCTGACCTCAGACATTTCTTAGCACTGGGCAAGTCATTTAACTTCTGCCTGCCTCAGTTTCTTCAACCAAAATGGGGGATAATAATATCACTTGCTTCCCAGAGTTGGTGGATCAAATAGATAATATTTGTAAAGTACTTAGCGCAGTGCCTAATAATGTTTGTTGCCTTCCTCCCTATAAAATAGAGAGGGAGGAGAGTGGAGAGGAGAGTAGAAAGACTTCTATCAAGTTCTAAATCTAGGATACTATGATAAAAAAATAAAAAATAAACGATCTAATGAGAGTAAAAGGAAAAATGTTGTTGAAGAAATTACTAAATTGTACTAACCAAGCCAGGGGATGATGATTTGACACCTGGAAATGAAGGGGACCTGAGATACATTAAATGAAGCCTATATCAATCTGGTGATATCTGCTCCAAGTAGAAAGATCAATGATCAAAGATCAATCAAGATCAATCCAGGCAGAAGACCTGGATTAAAAGTTTATCTTTGCCATTTGCTACTTCTCTGACTTTGAGCAAGTCACTTAACCTCCCTGGGTCTCAGTTTCCTCACTTGTAAAATGGAGGGGGGTGTTGTTGGATGAAAAGGCTTCTGCAGTCCCTTCTAACTAAATCTATTACTGTGATCTGAGTTTCAGAGAGAAAGTATATGGAGGTGAGGGAGAAGAAAGAGATGGTTTGGAATAGAGAGCAAAGGGTTTAAGCTATATTGTCCTCAATGGGCAGAAGGAGTTGAGTGGGATCCTGTAAGTTTTTTAAATATGAATTTTTAAAAATAATCAAAGTCTAGAGAGAAGTAGAGTTGGGAAATGTTCTAATTGCAAAGAAACAATAAAGCCATTTGCAGTGGGGGTGAGGGTGAGGGGAGGGAAGAAGGAGGAAAGACATCTGGTAATAAAGTTTATTTTAAATTAATTTTTACTTGATCTTATTTATTATACCCTGAAACCATATAGCCTTGGAAGAAATCCCAGGGGTTACAGGATACAGACAGTAATAATAACTCACAGGTGTCTAGTTCTTCGTTAATGTAAGACAATATGTACATGCAGGTTATTAAGTTACCAATCTCAGTCAGTGTGGTTTTGAACTTATTAAATTTTTGGGACCCCATGTATTTGATTTGGGGTCACTGATCATTGTTTTCAAATATTTTTTTCATTTAAAGTACAGGCTCTTCATTTCAGATTCATATTTCACACCAGATGGGAAGTCTCAGTGGAGGGGAGGGAGATGCTTCCGAGGCATCCACTTAACAAGTGTTTGTCTGGCCTCTGCCAGGCCCTGGGCACCTTGTGCTCAGCAGGGAATACAAAGATGGAGCAGAAGACAGAGAGTCTCTGCCATCAAGGAGCTTGGAGAGACAAACACAAACACAAACCAGAGTTAAGTGACAACAGCAGGCAGTTTGGGATTATGGGTCATAGGGATATCAAGACCTTAAAATATGTTTGCTTTGTCTTTTCTTTTGGGTGAGGCAATTGGGGTTAAGTGATTGCCCAGGGTCACACATCTAGCAAGTGCATGTGTCTGAGGCCAGATTTGAACTCAGGTCCTCCTGACTTCAAGGCTGGTGCTCTATCCACTGTGCCACCTAGCCGCCCCCCAAAATATGTTTGCTAAAAAACCTCTTTGTGTGAGTGTTATAAAATATTCAGACTGCCCCGACAGCTCATAAACGTGGCTGACCTTGAAAGATTTTCTTTTAAAAACAAGAATAGAACAATAGTTGCCCTTTAATTAAGAGGGCTTTTTTTCCACACACACACACACACACACACACACACACACACACACACACACGAAGGTGATGTGAGAGCATTTTTTTTTCCTTAATGAGGACATCTATTGATTGAAAAGTCTCATTCTTTTTACTCTTTCTTACCAGAAGAATTTAATCAAAGGCACTTCCTTAATGTACTAATGTACTAAAAAAAAAAAAAAAGCCCTTTGTGTATAATAAGGATCTTTGTTGAATGGCAGCCTGATGCAGTGGGGAGAATATTTCCAATTTTTCCTGTATATAGCTTATCTGTACCTAGTCATTTGCATGTTCAGTCATGAGCTCCTTGACAGGGGCTGTCTTTTGCCCAGTGCATGGCACAGTACTTGGCACATTCACTGAATGATTGACCTAAAGTCAGAAGAGAACTGAGTTTGATTTCTACCTCTAAAATTACTAGCTAGGATAACCTTGGGCCAGTCATCTTTTCTGAGCCTCAATATCTCCATTGGAGGGAAATGAGGTAGTATGGTGGACAGAGCTCTGGGCTTGTAATCAGGAAGACTTATCTTTATGAGTTCAAATCCTGTCTCAGACACCTACTAGCTGTGTGACCCTGGGCACTGAACTATTTGCCTCAGTTTCCTCATCTGTAAAATGAGCTGGAGAAAGAAATGGCAAACCATGCCAGTATCTTTGCCAAGAAAACCCCAAATGGGGTCAGGAAGAGTTGGACACAACTGAAATGACTCAACAACAAAAATCCCCATCAGAAAAATGAGGATTAGGGTAACCTATAGTATCTACCTCGGTGGGGGGGGGGTGGCAGTTGTGAGGGTCAGATGAAGAATATATGTAAAGTGTTTTGTAAATCATAAACATTCTATAAAAATAAAAAATTATTATTATTGAAAAGAATATTAGGCTTAGAGTCACACATTTAAATTCCAGCTCTGCCACTTGATAACTAAGTG